TCCTCTGGGATGTGTCCCAGATGGGTGCAGTGCTCAGATACCCGGTCCGGGTGGTTCTGATGCCCGTCTACAACCGCTACCCATCCGACACTCTGCTGCTTTCTGTCAGCTTCAACAGTGACGGCAGCAGGCTAGCAGTCACATCGAAAGACAGACGGGTTCGAGTCCTGGACCCGAGGACTGGAAAGATTCTACAGGTGTGTTTTTGTATATTTTGTTGTCAGACTTGTGTAGAAACGTTGTGATAATGTCTCTGATGTTCCTGCAGGTGTCCAGCAGTAAGTCCCACAGGGCCAGTAAGGTTTTATACATCGGAGGGTTGAAGATGCTTCTGTCCACTGGCAGCTCACCCTGGAACCACAGACAGATCGTCCTCTGGGACCCTGTAAGACTCACACTTAATCGTCAATGATCTGTTCACTTGAATAGAGAGAATAGATTGGTTGGAAGGTGTCCTGAAATACAGCTATTTGCAGCACATTTGCATCTATTGTGGAATAAATTTGAAGTATTTTATGGGTTGTTGCAAAATGGCTTGACCACGGTCCCTAAACTCAGCCCCCAAGGCCTGTTCCACCAATATGTATGAAACTCGGTACACTTATGTGTCATGAGCAGACAAACAAGAAACCCTCTTGGGCCATTTTGAATGTTGTGGTCATTTTTGGTGATTTGCACACATATTTTAGTGAACTCCTCCTGGTGAATTGATCGAATTGACTTCAGATTTGATCAGCGCAATCTAAAGTTTGTATTGTTTAGTGTCTCTTCCTCACTTCGTCTGTTTGCAGGACGACTTGTCTGAGCCTCTGTATGAAGAAGACTTGGACGGGTCTGCAGGAGTTCTCTTTCCGTTCTACGACCCGGACACACACATGCTCTACTTGGCTGGAAAGGTCGAGCAACACACATATATATCACATTTACCCCCAAAAAACATTGCACTTTGGATTTAACACATATCTCTTGTTTGAGGTCACAAAATTAGTGTTAAATACCTCGATAAACATTACAGAGACCCAACATTAAGGAATGTGGTGTACTTTAGGGTGACGGGAACATCCGGTACTATGAGCTGAGCGCTGAGAAACCTTACATCAGCTTCCTAACGGAGTACAGGTCCCTGCTGCCACAAAAAGGACTCGGTGAGATCCTGAAAACCAAGACTGTTGACTAACAAAGATACAATTTAGTGTGATTTTGATCCATTTTAAAACAAATATTCTATGATAATCAGTGAATCCACAATGTCATTAATAAACCAGATCTGGACAAATAACTTACTTTTAGAAACACACCAACTTAGCTAGTTTTTGGAATTTAAGTTTGGAAACAGGCAATCTGACAACTACCAGAACCAAATTTATTTAGGGAAAAACACCAATTTAAGCAGCTGTACAATTATTTTAGAAACAGTTATAAGTTGTAGATATAGCTGTATTAATATTAGGAAAAGACTAACTATAGCTGGCTGTACAGTTATTTTAGAAAGGACCACTTTTGTTTAACTGCTCTAATAGTTTTTTTTTATTTAAGATCAAATTTAGCTAGCTGTCAAAGACTTCCACAGTTTTAGGTCACAAAGTCTGTTTCTCAATGCTCCTAGACCAGCTCCAAATGTCCTCTGACCTCTGACCTCACTTCAGGGGTGATGCCAAAGCGCGGCCTGGACGTGAGCGCCTGTGAGATTTTCAGATTTTACCGTCTGATCGCCATCAAAGACCTGGTGGAACCGCTGTCAATGATCGTACCACGAAAAGAGGTTAGGAAGATAGATCTACCCCTTCTTGTTATGATCAAGACAGGAAGAAAGCAAAGGTCTTTTCTTCTGTCCTCCAAGTCAGGTATCTTCCAAGAGGATCTGTTCCCAGTGACAGCTGGAAACCAGGCGGCCATGACGGCTCAAGAGTGGCTGTCGGGGATCAACAGAGGTCAGTTAGTATGTGAACCAAAATGGCTGACAGATACATGGCTCTAGTTTCTCTTAGTGATTCACCGTAACCACCTCTTACATCAGGCCCAGTGCTGATGTCCCTGAAGCCTGGGACTCAAGTAGCCAACCCTTACCCAGAAACCCCTGCTGAGAAGGGGCTAGTGAGGCAGCTGAGCTCCCTGAGGTTCCAGAGGGGTCCGGCTGCTGGTGCAGTGACCGGGACAGACCTGGACTTTATGGAAGAGGTGAACGCTGAATATTTAGCTTGAACTACATCTGAACTGACCACTGAAACATAAAACAATGGACAGTTTTGGCTGATTCACCACCTCGACCACAAGTCTGTACGTCCAACCGAAAGACAACATATTTGATGCCTTCAGGGTCTTAATTTTTAGCCTGGTCACACACAATCCTGTATTACAGATAAACTGTTTGAAACGATTTAAGGGGAGTAATAGTCAACACAGTAAGAGTAGTGATCCATATCTGATAAGCACTGCCTAGTTTGACACTTTGATCTGAGTTTGGTGCGTTGAGCTGGACGGACTCACTGAGAATGAGCTGTCAATCACAAGGTAGCCCCGCCCTAAAGCATACCCTGCTTTATGGTCTGTTTTACTCTAAATGGGACCATCAGTTACTAAATGAACATCATGCTGTATGGAAGAAGACTGAAACTAGAGACTGAGACCATAAACTCATCAGGAAACTGTTTACTGAGCTCATAAATCAACTGAGAAGTCGGCTCATTTCTGCATAAGACTGGAGGGTATCTGTGTTTTATTGCCCCCTGCTGGCCGTTACATAGAATTACATTACATAGAAAGCTCTTACAGTAAACCCAACATGGCTCACACTGACTGATCATCTCTCTCTCTCTTGAGGCTTTCCTTGAGGAGCAGCTGGCCTACCAGGACGCCAAATACCCCAGAGAGGTGAGCGATCTGTCGGGGTGGCAGCCAGATGAGACCCAGATCCCCCTGTGGACGTACTGCTGCACCCCACACTGCTGCGAACCTGCAGAGAGACCGCCACCTACGACCGAGAGCGAGGTCAGTTCACGACGAGAATCCTGTGTGTGTGCAGAAAGAAAGCTTTTAGTTTCTCCTCTTCCTGCCAATAAACTCTGTTTTTATATTTCAGCTCCTGCAAGCATTTTACAGACAGCAAGAAGAGATCAGAGGCCTGAGAGAACAACTTAATCACAAAGACGTGAGTATTCAAACACAACCACACACACAGGGCGGTCAGCCAACATCGATATATCATCCTCTGAAACCAAAGCCAATACACTTAAAAAGATGAAAATGTTTTACCGCAGTGATAAGTTAACTCAGCGGCTCCCAACCTTTGTCCTTTTTCACTCGTAGTAAATTTAGTTAAGTGAAATATTTTATGGATATTTCATGTTATATTAGAGACACTTTTACACTGCAGGAGGTTTGTGTAAAATAAGTGATTTTGATGAGTTATGAGCACATTATTTCCTGTTAAGGGAAGTTTTTAAACAATTCTCTCTGTAATATGTATTTTTTAATCATTTTTAACAATCATAGACTTAATTACTTTTATGACAACTTCAGTTTTCTTCTCCCTGACGTTTGGCTATTGATCAATTAGACACTTTACATTTACTTTTCTTCCCAGAGGTGAACCAAATGGTGACATACAGGCCTACTGTGTGTATTTATAAGCTTTCTTACACGCCTTAGACTCAAGAAGGACCACTCATGAAGCTTTGGCGACCCCTAGTGGGAGTCCCGACCCTCAGGTTGGGAAACACTGACTTAACTGAACATTTTAACTAAATGAGAGGATCACCGTTCTTTCATGATGTCAAATTATTGGCATTTGGTTAAATATCTGCACAAAATGACAGTTACTGCTTTGTGATATCATTATCAGGATAATAATATGATGCCCCAAAACTACTGTAATCAAACAATAATGTTGTTTTTGAGTGTAATTAGTGAGTGAGTGTGTTTATATAGTGACTGCGATTGTTTCTGTTTGTGCAGGCGAGGATCACGGAGCTCGAGCTGGAGATCAAAAACACCAGAAACAACATGAGGGCGACCTTCTGATCCAACCAATCAGATCTCACGCTGCTGTTTTAACACCGGACCAATCAAACTACTCCGACCAATAAAGCAAAGACATCTTCACGTGGTTGTGGTGGTTTTCTGTTCCCACTTCAGTTCAGCTCTTTGTGTCGTTTGTACGTCAATAACAGACAAAAAGTGGCGGTGATGCATTTATGGTCCAACAGCTTCGTTACTCCAATATATAATATTCACCAGCAGATTTGATTAGTATGATTTAGATCCATTAAAGAATTGTGACTCAGATATAAACTGAGCAGCAGAGGTGAAAGTACTCCTATTTATTATTAGCATCCAATATATACAATATATATATATCCAAAAGCAGCATTAAATTAGTTAATCGTACAATATTTACTACCTCAAATTGTACTGAAATACAGAGAATTGAGAAAACTTCTCATTATTTTGAGTTAATAAATCATTATTGTGATAAAATGTGAGTAAACGGACTTTGTCTCCAATGCTGCTGAGGATATTTTACCATAAACAAAAGGAAAAAAGAAGCTGTCAGTTCTCTCTGGTGGACAAAGTATACAATGACAACAGTTTCTCAATGACCTTGAATGCATCTTTGGCATTTCTCTACTGCATTTACACTGTTAACAAGAATCTAAACTAATTTATTGATTAAAGTTTTGGTTGAGCGCTACTCAAAATAATTCCCAAGTTTTCATCTAGAGCCATTATCAGGTCAAACTTTCAAATAATGAGTTCAACGTGTTATGGAAACCTGTTTCTGCCAATGTGTTGAAAGTCATGAGAAACTTAATCAGAATGACGTAGTAACTTAATATTTGCCCTTATTTTGAGATACTTTTATCATTTTTATGATTTACAGGATCCTTTATTTCCCCCCTCATCACATTGGCATAAATGAGCTTCCATAGGATTGTAGCTGCCGGGAATAACTGAAGGAACACATTATGGGAGACAAAAGGCCAGAGAGGAGACGCCAGGAGCAAAATGTTAAGATTTTATTTACAAAGTCCTTTTTTGTGTGTGTTTTTTTGTTTGTTTTTCCTTTAACTTACAGAAAGTAAAAAAAATAAAAGAAAACACAACCTCAACTAGTCAGTGTAAGTGTGAAGGATCAACTGGATCTCTCTACTGAGCAGGAAGAGAAAGAGGCAGAGAGAGAGAGAGAGAGAGCTTGAAGAAATGGGGGAGGGAGAGAGAGAGTGTCCCCAGACAACCATACAAAATTAAACAAAAACAATTTCTCTGAAAAAATATTTCTTTTAAAAAGCTCTGTTGGCAAAAAAGAGAAAACACAGTTTGCCCTGAGCGCGCTCGGCCTCGGGGAGGGGGGTGGGGGGGTGGGCGGGGGAGGGGGAGCCTGTCGGGGAGCGCGGTGATGCCATCACAGCTGCTGGTTCAGTCCCAGAGTGGTGATGTCACGGAGAGTTGGGGGGGGGCGTTGGGGAACAAAGGAATGATGGGAAAAGGAGGAGTTGTGAGGTTTGGGTTTGATTTCGTGCTCCAACAGTGACGTCACCTCCCGCGAGCCCGCGTTCAGCCTCCTTCGCACAGACACGACGCCAAAAAAAAAGCTTTGTTTTAACGCGTTCAACGCTATTACTCAAAAACGTGAATTTGACAAATATTACAACAAAAAAAAAAAAAAAGAGGCGATTTTCTTGTGATTGATCTCAAAAACGGAACGAAAAACTGAAGCTGATGTTCTTCGGCCTTCCGTACAAACTGGACAAAACCTCGCCTCCGTGATGCTTCGTTATTGAGCTTATGACTGGCGTTTACTTCTGGTTAACGGAGCGGGAATCTGGAGCTCAAGCGGTCACGAAAAAACTCCCAGAATACCCTGTTCTTGTGATGCCAGCTGATGATTCGATGCCCCGAGACACAAAACTTCTGTTGATGTGATCAAGTTTTTTGCTCATCTGAGGTTCTTGTTTGCAAATGTGTTTAACACCAAAGTCCTCTTTCCTACAACGTCAGATTTGACACCAAAATCAACAACCAACTCGGTTACATCGGCTTTTGTGAAATCAAACTTTGGTCCATCTTTCTCTGAAATAAATCAAAAGTTCCCGTTGATGCCACAGAGGAACTTTACGTCGGGCTCAAACGATCAATTAACAGAATATTTATGGGAAATTCATATTTCATTCATATAATTCCACACAAAAATGCCAAATATTCTCCGGTTCCAGCTTCTAAAACGTGAAGACTTCTGCTGTTTGTCATGTACGATGGTTAACGGATCATCTTTAGACATTTTAACGTGTCACTTTCCGCTGAGAAATCATAATTTTCTGGCATTTTATAGACGAAAACGACAAATGGAGACAATAACGTGCAGCTTAAATCGATACTGAAAATGATCGTGAGTTGGAGTTCTAATCGGTTTTGTGGATTCGAAGCTCTCGAGTTTTTCCTGAGTTCACTAAAATGTGCCGCTACAAACGCCAGAGAGTGAAAAATGACACCGACGGGAAGTTGTCGAGGAATATTTGGGATCAACAAACGAGAGAATTGTATAAATTAACGGAGAGGAGCTGACGAGGACGCGGCGGGAGGAGACCTGTTCTCAGAAATGGGACGCAGCCCAGGAGTCGACCGAGTGTTGGTGGGGGGAGGAGTCAGGCGGCGGAGGAGGAGGGCGAGTGTTGGTGGGGGGAGGGGATGGAACGAGGTCATGTAGGGGGGAGGGCGGGGGAGGTCAAAGGGGGTCGCGGGGAGTCTTTGTGGTTCTTTAATCATCATCTTCATCATCTTCATCATCCTCGTCCTCAGGGTCCCTCTTCCTCTTCTCTCCTTTGGCCGGAGACGAGTCCTCGTCTGCAGAGGAGACGAGACGTTAAAACAAACAGATTGTTTTATCATTTAAAATAACGTACAATGTGATTATAAACAAATAACTGCAGAAATGACTCAGAAAATGTTTTATATTCTTATTTTTATTGTTTCTTTAGTTTATTAAATTGGGAAATATTTTAGTTTGAGGTGAAGAAACATTTTAAAAAACATTGTTTTTGTTGCAAAGAGTCGACGAGTTCATGTAATGAAATTAAAATGTGTAATTTGCACGCAGCTAACGGAGGATTGTGTGGAAGTCAATGAGCCAGTGTGTTACTCACCATCATCATCATCATCTTCCTCGTCGTCATCCTCACTGTCCACGTCTCCATTCACCTCTCCGTCCTGCACAGAGAGAAGTTGGTTGTTGAGGTGTTTAACATCTTAACGTTACAGTAACTGCTACTGCACACAGACTGAAGGGTGGGGTCACTTATTCTGATCTATATTGATTACTGATTGACTTTGGAATCGTCGTCAGACGTCGTTTCTAAACAGCTGAACTGGTTTCACTTTGTTTGTTGACTCAAAGCTGAATGAAACGTACCACAGCGTGCGCTGGATTTGTAACACAAGACAACAATAACAACAAAATTAATGTTTCTTTTTCTCCTTTTTTAATTGTTTGTATTGATTGTTTGTTGCCTTGTAAAGCTCTTCAGGTTGGGGAATGAAATATAATATATATAAATGAATTTGTCTTGTTTTTACAGTCGCTGAAAAGTAAAACGTGATTTAATTTCCCAGCTGGCTCTTCTGGAGTCCACAATGAATCACAATACGAGGCCCAGTGCAACATCCAAATCACAAGAAGCTGCAGTGTTTGGACGAAGGTAAAATGTGACAAACAGCTTTATAATAAAACACAGCAGAGAAGCTTTTAGGCTACAAATCTTGTTCTCCAGATTTAAAGACATTTTTCTTTGCTAAAGTCACATCATTATGATTTTAATGGGTTTTTTTCAGTAAAAACTAAATAAGTGATGCAAAAAAGATCATTATCAATAATTGTGAATCATATCGCAGTATCTGTCAACTCTGTTCCAAAGTGGGCTTCACCACCTGTTAGCCCCTTAAAATCAACTCAATACGGAGCTCAAACTGTGCCAGTGTGAAACGGGACTAACGTAAACATCAGTCACATCTTCCACCAGATGTTAAACGCAGCACCAGTAGAAGAGCAGTGTAAATATAAATATATAATATATAAGTATAGCCCCGGGCTGAGGGGCAACTTAAATACAACTCTTATCGCAGGGCTCAGACTGTGAAATCCACATTACTGAGGAAGGACAAAGAAACTCTGAGCTAGCTCCCCTGGAATGAACTCATTTTAAATACTCACACCGACTCTTTGACTATTTATTCTTACACTAAAAATGTAAATATTTGTATTTACGTTCCATATGTGTGGAACAGGAAGCAGCTGCAACCCTCTAGCTCCAGACTCACCTCATCGTCAGCGCTGTCGTCATCGTCGTCGTCCTCTTCAGCCACTACGTCCTCCTCGTCCTCCTCTTCCTCCTCCTCGAAGTCCTCTGACTCGCCCTCTGGAGGAGCAGATACAGTAAGACAACATGCAGCAGGTTCAGGGAGGAGCAGCGCTCTCGCTTTTCTCTTTAGGACGCTCACCTTCTTCGTCCTCGTCCTCGACGCCGTCTCCCTCTCCGTCGGAGTCGGACGCCTCGCAGTCGTCGATGTCGTAGCCGTCCAGGTAGGTGAGCTGGGGGAGGAGCTTGAAGATGGACTCCCTGTAGTCGGCCAGGTTGGTCACCTCGCAGTTGAACAGGTCGAGACTCTTCAGCTGGGGCAACTTTTTCTGGTGGGGGCAAAAGACAGAACTCCTGTTGTAGTTACAGTTCACTGGTTGATGGAGCTGATTCTCCCGTTGGTGCCATTAAACTACAAGATGGCTTCATTAAAACGGCTCAAATAACAGGAAACTGCAGAGAACATGATGGAAATATGATGTTTCTGTTGTATAAATGTGAGACCCGATGTTTTCAGCTCTTCGTGTGTATTCAGTCTGTTTCTGTTGCATTTGGTCTTAATGAAACACTCAGGTGATGTTTACAGCTGCCAGTAACAGACAGTGAATACAGATGTGTGACTCTCAGGGTTCCTACTCTTTCTAAAGAGATTATTATAATGATTCATTTTGTAATAACCTGTTTGAATTCAATGTATGTATAGACACAGACTGCTTGAAGTTCCCTTGTGGTCCAGCAGAGAGCGCTCCACTATCATCTTCACCTATAAGCATGTTCTATTGTCAGTAAACTGAGCTACATATGTTATGTTGTTTACTATAAAAACAGAGGACAGCAACAAGCAGAGCCGTCCCCAGCGGACAGCCGGACCCTGAAGCCTCTGAGGAACTTCTTCCAAACCAGCTGTTGGACTCTACAACCACAACAAATCTGCAATTCACCTGCGAACATTAGCTCACCGTCCAAGTGAGACAGACGAGCAGAGCGTCTGCACCGTGGCCAGCAGCTCATAAAAAACCCATCAGCCATACGGGAGCCAGATTTATATGCAACCCACCGGTAGTAAGTAGTTAGTAAGAGAGTTTTAATGTTATGTTTCAGCCCCTCACTCCTGTGTTTAAAGGAAACTGTAGTCAACTGAAAGCGAGCGAACACAGATTGTCCATTAAACACCGACATGGTGACACCGCTCAGGAAAACATCATTAAAATCTTCCAGGACATCGTGAATTATTGCCAAGAACATTTGCTCATTGTCATCAATTTCCAGGTGTTACCGCGACTGGAAAACTCATCCCTAAATATCCAGGTTTTCCAGGGCGTGTGGGAACTCTGTGTGTGGGAAACATCGGCACGGAACGAGAAGCGGCTGTAAATAATTGTGACCGCGTAACCTCCGGTGGATGTACACGGACATGGATGTTAATATCAGGTGTAAACATGTTTCTACTCAGGAACCCAAATCTCTCTCCATCATCACAAACACCTAACGGACAGATTGAATCTCCGGAGATGATGAAAGGCTTTTTAACGAGGTCTGTAGGTTACGAGACACCCACCAGCGGCTCCAGGGTGCTGATGTCTTTGAACTTGTTCCCACTGAGGTTGAGGTGCGTTAGGTTCACCAGCCGCTCCGCCAGGACCTCCAGACCGCCTGATATCCTGTTGTCACTCAACTCCAACTGCAGGCGGGAGGAAAACAATGGTTTATTTTATTTCATTTGGACATTTTAGGAGAACAAACATCAGTGGCTGCTCTGTGTTTTAATATATTTCTAATTCAAGGATCAAGTACTTTGATCAGATAGAGACAATTATTGATCACACACACATTTCACTACAGCTGAAACTAATTATTATTTTCTAAATTAATCGATTTGGCTACAAAATGTGAGAAAATAGTAAATTTGTGTTGAATATAAAACTCTTAAAGTTGCTTGTTTTATCTGAACAAACGTCCAAATCTCAAAGAAATATAATAAACTGATAAATATTTAATAAATATATTGTAATTTAATGCACATATTTTATCATTTTTAGATCTTATGTTTTAGTTTAGCAGCTTGAGCAACTTTAACGCAACAAATTCAACTTTGATTGACTCTTGATACTGCGTACACACTAATACATGAACAATAAAAGGTTAATAACATTTATATTCTTCACTCTCGTCCAGTCTTTCTCTAACAGTTTGGGTCGTCTCACCTTTTTGAGTTTGTCCAGTTTGGGGATGTCTGCTACGCTCGTCAGGCCGACGTTGATGAGGCTGAGCAGCTCCAGATTCGAGAACTCTGCTGTGATTCCTTCGATCTTCCCTTCGCCGGAGCGACAGTTATCCAGAACCAGCTCCTGGACCTGGAGGAGGGGGACGGGGTTTCATTGTTCTGATTTAAGACTCGTTTATACATCAAGCTGTGATCTCTTTGATGGCACACGCAGCGCTACTACAGAGTTTCAGAATGACTTTCGTTTCCTGATTTTACGATAGCGGTGCCAATGTGACTGACTCAGAGTCATTTCAGGCTCCGAGTGAGAAATCAAGGTATTTTCCACTACTCAAACTTTTACTAAACTCCCCAAACATTTCACACGTCTGACTTCTTGTATCACATCATAAAAGCAGAAAGGATCTCTTTCAACCTGGAGATAAAGTCGGGCTGCAGTTAGCGATTATTTTCATTATCGATTTAAACTCAAAACTACAATAAAACTACTTTTAAATTACAAAGAAAAGTTGCGTTTACCCTTAAAAAGCCACTTTTTCTCCCCCGACACACTGAAAACTGAGCCGGACTCAATAAAGGGAATCAACCAAGACGCAGAATCAATGATGGTAAAATCGTATCCACTCCAACTATTGATCAAAGAAACGTTTTAATCCATAAAATAATATTAATCCACAAAACCAGCACATATCCACACCCGGGGAGCTGGAGCCAACACATTAAAGACGTTTCAGCTTAAATTTAAAATGTGTAAAGTTTCTCATTATTCTGATAAAGTTTCTCATTAATAACCTCCAGCCAGCCTGTGGTCTGTAATGGGACGCGCTCCGGTTCAGTTTCATATTGGAACGCGTCCCGATCGAGGCTCTGTTTATAAACTCCTCCAGTTAGCTCCCCTGCTAGCTGCTCTCTTTACTTATTAATACCTATTACTCCACCTAACTGCCCCAGGAGTGAGTCGTGTGTTAAACACCGCCAATTAAAGGTGTTTAAAGGTGTTTAAAGGTGTTTTAAGGCGCAATGGAGCCGACTAATGTAGCACAAGTAGCCACTTTTAGCTTCAGCACGCTAGCGTTAGCACGCCGTTGGCTACGCGCCCTCAGCACGTTATGGACGCGGGCTCCGGCTAATCTCTGGAGCCGCAATTCATACCAACAGCGCGTTTTTATCGTTTTTAAAATGTGCAAACTAATAATTAAAAGAGGCGGTTGGTTTTTATCTATAAGTTTAAAACGACAAGTTGACGTTCGACCCGAATTTTACGTCGTTTTAACGGAAAAACAATGACGCATTTCCTGCGAGTGTTTAACGATAAACGCAATGACGAGTCATTTTCATCCTGTAGTTGTTATTTGGTTGTTATCAGGGTTTCTAAACGAGCACCAAACTACAGCTGGGAGTTCAGTCCGTCGACAGGAACAAAAATAAAATGCTTAAAGTGTTTTAAATCGTCTGCAACGCAGTTATAAACCCCGTGTAATAACTTCAGGTGCCAGGCATTAGCCGGGCCCCGGGTGCACACACACGGATGTGCTCGTTTAATTTCACACACAACGTTTAAAACAAATTAACAGCCGGCGACATTAATAAAGAGCCTAAAACACGCAGAAATAAATTAATATAAAACTACAAAACAACGCGGTGAGCAGCTGCGCGAAACAGGGTGTTTATGAGGTGAAACCGCGCAGCTCTGGTGGCGAATTAAAGGCTTAAAAACCGCGAATTTAAAGAGAATTAGAGAGTTTATTCCGGCTCGTCGGAACCGTAGAGACAGACAGCCGGAGCCATGTGCTCGCCACCCCTCCTTCCCCTCCTTCTCCGGCCGGTCCACAGCACAACAAACCCGGGTTCCTCACCTCCGTGGGCGACCGGTGCCGCAGCTCCAACGAGACCCTCTTCTTCATGTCCATCTTCCTCTTTCTTTTGGCCCGAGTTTGTGTCTCTGCGACGCGAATAAAACTTGTTTCTCCCGGATCTTCTTCTTCAGTGTCAACACGCGGAACCAGTGTGAAGCTCGCCGGAGTGGAAATGGTGGACTTCCGGGTACGACTTTCAGAGTAAAAGTCTGTTGCGCGCAGCGGAAGTGGGTGTTTTGTTATTCGGGCTTTTAATTTACTGTCTATGTTTACATGTTATTGTTCTTTTAAAGCCCCTTTATTGTGGTTCATGTTGTTTTTTATAAATATGTATGTTTGTTATTTTGTGTTTAATAATAATAATAATAATAGTATGTTTTTGCTATTAGAATAATTCATACTTTGGAGAGTTCATTTTACTTATAAAAACTGGATTTGCCATTATTTTTAACCATTTTTAACATTTCTTTATAAGATAAGATGTTTCTTTATTGATCCTCTGGAGGGGAAATTAAAATCACAAGAGGAATCTTAGTGGAGAGAGTAGAGAAAGAATAAAAATATAATTCATATATATACATTAAATACAATAAACTGGGAATATTATCCAGAAATGTAATTTTACATTCATAAAATGTAAACTCTTTAATATTTTACCCTCTTAGATTAACACTTTTGTGTTTTATGTATTAGATTTTTGTTTTTTTCTTTTTTTGTAAAATAATTTAAATAATTTAAACTTCTTGTAAACAGCACTAATGATATATTTTGTGTTGTTTTGTCCACAGAAACGCTTCAGTTTAACGCCGTATTGAATATTTAAGATTATAGATACTTTTATTGTCCTAATAAAAAGAAGTTCGTTCGGTGCATTTATTTTGAAGGGAAACGACTGCACTCGTAGTTTTCGCGCTCCTCCAGTCTAACTTCACGCGCACTGAAACGTTCTCGTGTCGCGTGAAAGCGAAAAGTGGGTTAAAACGGTTTGTTGCGTTTAAATGCCCTAAAATACACATCGGGATTTCGAACTTCACAACGTACATCGACAACCCGATAAAAACTAAATGGATTAATGAGACGTTATTTAGTTATCATAAACTAAAGCTGGGCTCTTTAATTATCATATTTGTTCACTGGGGATGTTGATTGATGAGTTTTGTACTTGAAGTAAATATATATGTGTATTAAGAGAGAAGGCTGATGTGTGCACAATAAATCTAGGTAAATAATTTTATGGTATTTAACATATAAACAACAAAAGACAGCGAGGTCAAATAAATAATTAAAGTGCGGTTCATTTTGTTTTTTGGGCAAAAACAAGACTTGATTTCGCGCGAAAAGGAGAGGGGAGCTATAAAGTACGAGCTTTTGAGGAGTACTTGAAGGCGTCAGAGTTGGTTGGTAAAAGGAGGGAAACAGCAGCAGGGAGGGAAACATGTCTCCACAGCGACACCGGCGGCCATTTTGACTCATTGTTCAATAACTGTCACATCCCTTTAACAGCAACGTCCGAACAGTTTGCTTGTTTTAAACATAAATATATATATATGTAACAATAAATCATCATATTTTATAAATGGATCATGTTTTTTAATGTAAGATCTCAATTTAAAAAGCAACTACAGCTGTTAAATGTGCCAGTAGACAGTAGAATAACATTAAATTCATAATAAAATACTCTTTGTTGTACTTTAAATGCTCTTAGGGTAACCCCTATCTGAAAAAAGTTTCTTGATTAAGCAGCTTTTATTATATATAATTTTAAGTGACACTAACTTAATTTGTATGTTACAGAAATATTCCTGATTAAGTACTTTTTACTATGTATTGTTTCTCCAAAAGTCAGTGCTACTTGAAATAACTAAAGCTACTCGATCAATGTTTATTAACTCATTTAACTTTTAACAAAATTGAGTTTGTTTTACTTAAAATTTTTTCAATGTAAATCAACAGTTTTTTGAGTTAAACATATCTTTTAGCGTATTACGGTGAATCTATGTATAAAGAAGAGTGGAGTCCTGTTTGCAGTGTCATCATAGTGTTAATTCTTTATTGTCATTACATTGTAGTTCATCTTCACGACAAGCAGTTATACATACAGTGGTCTTAGAATATATCGTCATCCAATACGAGGAGAGCAACAGTTAGAGTTAGTATCACAGCTAGGGTTTTCCACTGACCGCCCGCCCCCATGCCCCAAAAAAAACCCTAACCCTTCATCCCCTAACCCCCCTCCCCCTCCTCCACATCATACACCAATGTATTGACGACCGCCAAATACGCGCGCCACAGGTGCCGAAACAATAAATAGAGGACGCAGGAATAAATAAATAAATAAATAATTTAAATGAATACATACAATAAATAAATAGCAACAAGGTGTGTGTATATACTCAGGTACACACCTTCACCAGAAGACACCAGGTTCCATAAGCATAGGGGCTATTTTATACAGCCACAAAGCATACAGTACAATGTAACACCGCCTCAGGTCGGACCAAGACCACGTTATTACAACCGTAACGCAGACTGTACGCTTTGTTTCTTTTCAGCTATAGCGACCCCAAGAAGCAGAAGTAATCTCATTGGTTCGCTTAGAAATCAGTGGGCGGGGCCTAAACGTTGGCTAAACTGGCAAATTCTAAAGACCAAAGAGGAACTTTTGGTACAAATATAAACAAAACGTAAAACAATGATTGGTTTTTAAAATGTATTTGTGATCCCGGACCGTCAGTGGTTCACTACACATGAACTCAGTGATTTTATCTCTTAAGTGTTTAATTGTTTTTAGCCCAGATTAAAGATTTATTTACTAATTAGACACAGCCAGGCTAGCTGTTTACCCGTTAGCTTAAACTTCATTATTTACGGAAACAGACATAAGAATGGTATAACTCTCAGCAAATTAGCATATTTCCCAACATGGTAAAATAATCCTTCAACCAGTTAATTAATTATTTTTAGCCATTGGACGGGGACGGGCCATCCAGCCTTTAAACTAGGCTACTAGTGCTAGCTTCATATTCAATGCACAGATATGAGAGTGGTATCAATTTTCTCATCTAATTCTTAGCAAGAAAGTGAAATAAAGTATTTTCCAAAATGTTTAAAGGATTTTGTCATTTGTGTGATTTACTTGTTTATTAATGGCTGATTTATGTAAAACCATCATTTAATTTAGCCAAACTCCTTGGGTGATTATTTTCAGTTAAGTTTGACAACCAATGCATGTAACAGTAGTCTCTTAATATGTCCTTTAAATGAGAAATATTGAGTTCTGATTTGTCATTACATTAGAAACAGTCAACATGTATTCAGTGGCACCTGAACATCAACAAGTTTATCCAAACTATGAGAATATTTCTGCTTTCAGAGGCGCCATGTCTCTCCGAGAGCGATGTGGACGCTAACTTCAGGCAGGTAACGTGGCCGAGGTCTGACTCTCATTTAGGTCAAAAGGGAAAATGGAGCGTAAACACTGTACAAGTCCCTCATTGAGGTTAGAATACATGTCGCCATAGAGGGCAAATCAGCACAAAAGAAAACAAAAAAAAAGACAAAAAGCAAAAGGTTTAAAAGAAACGAAAACATTCAATACTCAAAGTCTTCAAGCACTTTGTAATATGAAGAGGAGTGCTACACAAATATAGCTCAACCAAGTCAAAAGATAAAAAATAAATACATTAAAAGAACAATAGAGGGGTGTCAGTTAACATAGGCTCACTGCAGCGTGACAAAAAAGCCAGCAGGACGAACTCCCCCCCCCTCCTTTTTATTTAAATCTCTTTTGGAAACCATCTCAAAACAGCAGACGTAAAGCGGTTCAGTTGCATGCAGCTCACAGACTTTCCACAGGCGGACTCAGAAAACCGTGTTTTAGACTCAGAATACAAAGACAACACAAAGGAAATCAAAGAAAAAACACTGAACACTCCAAAATCCCGTCTTTTACAACAACCGGTTCAACAGTTACAGAAAAGCAGGTTATGTGGCGGAAAGAGAACGAGAGAGAGAGAGAGACTATTAGCTTGTTTTACTCGGTTTGTGATTGTATTGTTGCTGTAGCATATGTGCTTTGGCAATGGAAGAGATGTCTAAGTTCTAAAGCTCTTTAGATAGATAGATAGATAGATAGATAGATAGATAGATAGATTTTCCTTCAGAGCCATCTCTTCCTCTTATTGAAACATGTTATTGTTAGATCATTTATTGCCTATTCAATGTTTATTGACTGTTGATAGATTATATTGGTCTGTTTTTTTTTTTCGTTATTACTATTTGTGTCCAAAACACCATTATTAGCTTTTCGAGAGGAGCTCTTAAACTCTTTCCCAACCTCCTACCAAATATTTAATAAAATATTTCTTCTGTTAAATTATTACTATTGTCAACTAACTTGTCAAGAACCGGACCGATGTGACCCATCATATGGCTCTGACCCGTAGCTTAAGAAACACAAACATTGCACCTTGGACAAAAGTCTCACTACTTTAAATTTTTTTTTGACAATGGACTGCCGCGTCTTAGCAAACAACAGCTACAGTAGCATCCTGACACTTTGTTGTGACGGAACACGACTATTCAGAATACAGCTTCAGAATACCAAAAATGAAGTATCTGTACATTTTTAAACTTTTAGTTTTTATGGATTCTGCTCAACACTGCATCACAAAAACGCAAGTACGGGAATGTGAAGCGAAAAGGCTAGCTGGTTAGCCACAGCTGGCACATTAGCATTAGCCATGCTAGCACAGATTCCTGCCGCTGTTTGACGACGTAGTAAATAATGCCTGGATAGAAAAACCCTAAGCTTTTTGATTTCATAACATCCATTAAATTTCTGTTTTAATTTGAAAAATGTTAGCATGGTAAATGATAGAATAATAATTCTATCAAGTTGACTGACTTCAGCCTCCTACGCCATAACTGGTCTTTGAAACTATTCAGTTTTGTTATGTACAATGGAGTCGATATAAACCCAGCACCATACTGAATTTGAACAGATCTGTTAACATTGCTAGAACTTTTCCATTGCTGTTGAACTCAAATGCAGTTGTCACTATTTGTTTAATCTAACATCAGTAATGAAGAGCGAATTATTAAAGAGCCTTTAACATTAAATAAAACTGACCTTTTCCATGAGGTCTTTGTCAGAGTAGACTCCTTAATACTGGCCTTCGAAAGA